CAACATTCAACTATTCTCCTTTTAAATGCATCTGGAGGTCAATACAAATTGCCCTCCCATTAACATTAGTCCCACACAAAATGGCTAATATGTATTCATGATACAGGGCTTAAAGTCACTTCGTGGTGAAATTAATGATGTGGCTTTACTTCCAAGACCAGCTACAAGTGTTAACATCTTTGTACAGCTTCATTTGCTAAATAGGGTAAATAACACCTGCCTAATTTCTGATGGTTTATGACGCTTTGAGGGCATTTCTATACCACAGGTGTGGGCACACCCAAGCTGACTTCATAAGAGCAGCACTCTTGTTGTGTTTAATAATTGTATTCCTCATTTTCCTAAGAATTCAAACAAAAATACTCCATTTTCAATTTACCAAAATGTTGACTGTTCAAAACTGCAACCGAAGAAAAAGACAACTCTCCTTGAAAAAATTTAACAGAACTACATTAACAATATAATAATAAGTAGTCTGAAAAATCAGACCAAAGGCATCTCCAACGGGCACCAAAATGAATATCTCTGAAATGAAATGCAGTTCCTCAGAAGTGCCTCCTAGAAAACAAAAACAACAAAAACCTGCACGCTTTTTGGGATGTTGTAAAGACAGTATTAGTTCCTACTCATATAATCAAAGAATATTAGGCTGTTATAACCACAAAATAACCAAGAGAGTTTGGCAAAGTAGACTATGATAACAAAAGAGAATAAATGGAAGGCTTACCCTTATCCTGCACTCACCCACAAAACACCAGTAGAGGCAATCTCCAGAAGAGATCCTTCCCCACTGGTAGCCAGCTCTTAAATAGGTCTAGGAGGAACTTGCCTAGAAGGCCAATTGCCTTCACCTGTGCTCCTCTGGCTGACTCATTGCTCGCCTCAGGTGATCAATCAGAGGTTCAGGCCGTGACTCAGCAGTTCCCATACACTACTGTAAGGTACTTGTAAGTTACAATGCTAAGCAGCTTCAGTAATCCACAGTAAATGAGGCAACAGGATATGAAGTGGTCACCCACTCACTACACAATTTTCATTCTATACACAGCATGAGAAATGGACTGGTAGAACTACACCGAGCAATCATATCATATAAACTAGGGCCCCGAGTAAGGTTATGCAGATAAACTGTGTTGTTACTGTTTTGGTGTTTGATTTCACAATCATTTAATCAAACCTTTACTACAGCTTTCTCTTAAAACACAATTTATGTAATGACCTCAGAATCCACATATGCAAAACAGAAGAATATCATAGAATTCACTGCTATCGTAGAATAGAAAAAAAGGTTGGAAGAACCCTAAAGCCTATCCAGTTCCAACCCTCTGTGGTGGGCAGCACTGCCACCCACCACATCAGGCTGCCCAGGGCCCCATCCATCCTGGTCCTGAACACCTCCAGGGATGGGGCATCCACAGCTTCTCTGGGCAGACTCACCACTCTCTGAGTAAAGCTTTCACCTTTATAACTACCACTGTCCCACATAATCTCATATTTTTAAACCTGGGGGCAATTCACACCTTTTACTTCCACCCCCCTCCCCCCCCCGAAATCAGATAGCACAAGCTATTTGTGGAGTTATCTGAAAAGATTAGGTGACATCAGAAGAGTTCTGGTGAAGTAATCAGTACAAAACAGGAGATAATCAGGAATCTGATTAGAATAAAGATACTGCTGTGATACAGCCCATTTGGGACTTAATGTATGAAAACATTAAAAAAAAAAAAAAAAAGATGAAAGAAAATTAAGAACAAAAAGATAATAGTTCTTTGCAAGTGAAGGAGGAAAAGAAAGATATATGACCTCATATTATATAATTCACCTAGCAACTATACACTAAGCCAGGTATGTTCAACTCATGCCCAGCACAGCTTGCAATATGGCCACTCTCTGCCTCACACCATCACTGAGTAATGCCAACTAAAGTTATGGCAAATAATTGTAAGCATCTGGATACATTGGCTAAGCACTGCCCTGTGAACAGAAAAAAACATGCAGCTATGCATTCCATTTTTATAAAGGAATCTGAAAATAGGTTTCAAGATCACCAGAAAGTTATCAACTTTCTTGTATACTTCTGATTCCATTTTTAGTCAACAAAAATACATGACCTGCACAATTTCAAATGGAATGCACTGAGTTGCAATCAGATATTCAACCCCCAAGATCTGATCGTGTCTCTCTACTGGAGTTTTGTAAACCTTACCATTGCAGAAAGAAGTATTCCTCAATCAAAGTCATGTGTGATTCACATCATCACTTTATGACAGTATGTACAGTTGAAACTATTTCTTTTCAAGGATGAAGAACAGGAAAACTAAAATTTCATCAAGAATTGCAGCCACTGCCATCAAACCAGGCCGATACATTAGTTCCACAAAAACAAGGTCAAATATCCCACTAGTTTCAGGGTTTTGTGACTTCCTTTTTGTATTTTAATTAATAATAAAAATGTTTTGTTACTTATATACATTGATATATAATATACAGTATTATATATTTTATGAGGTCCACTCCAAAAGTAATGCCTCCTATTTTATGATGCTGGTCCACAACATCAGAGGTAGATGTTTGTGATACAGCAGGAAGTTGAAGCTTCCCACCAATATTGTTACATTTCTTTGCTGTGAGACAGATGGCAGCAGAGGGGCAGCCTGACACAACACCTGACATGTAGCTAAGTTGGAAGAACAATGTGTTACTGAATTCCACCATGCAGAAACAGTTGCACCCATTGACATTTGTCAACACCTGCCAACATTCACATAGACCAGTGGATGTAAGCACAGCGAGGTGGTGGGTGGTGCACTTCAGCAGTGGCAAAAGCAACTGTGGGTCACCTCTGCTGATGCAGGATTCTATAAGCATGACACTAAGGCTCTTATTCACTGCTGACAAAAATGCAAAGCTAATGGTGGTGACTATGTTGAAAATTAGTGTTTTGTAGCTATGAATTTGCTCTATCAGCAATACTGTGCTCATTGTATCTTTTGTAGTTCCCATGGCAATAAATAGGAGGCCTTACTTCTAGAGTGACCTACATATATGCAGCCCAAGATGATTCTTCTTCATCCAATGCAGCCCAATCCAACCAAAAGGTTGCACACACATACACTAACTGGTATTTGTGTGACTTGTATTAAACAAGTTAAAATACGGTTTGAATAAAATAAGAAACTGCGCTGTATGTCTGTTTAAACCAACTCCAAGCCAAGTGATTTAGAAAATGCTTCAGTTCCTCGTATCTGCAATGCCATTTTGCAAGATCCTAGTCACATGTGGCACACGGCTGGTAGTCTGCCACCCTTCATCTGAGAGGAGGCAGCACTTTGTGCTCTCTTTTGTCAGCACCTTGAAAAGCATCTCATTTTTGCAGTCAGTTTTTCTTCCCATCTAATAGATTGAGTCCTTTGAGGCATTTCTCTGCATAAAGGATTTCAGTGAGATGGACTGGGAGGACAAACAAACAAACATAGACTAAATCGTTCATACTGTACTCTTCATAAAACATTAACTAAGCAACCCAGGGTTGTGATCGTCAGTCATACTTCTTCATGAGTTCCATCCAAAACCTGTCGGAATAGGATCTCTCTGAACCCCTTCGGACCAACATCTAGGGCAGATGTTCCTTAGACCATTAAATAGACAGACCATGAAATCTGTAAAAAGCAACATAGTAAAGGCAAGTCTTGGTCTTACTGATGCTGCCAAATAATGTGTTTCACGGGATTCAGTGAACAAACACATCAATAACTTGGCCTCCTAGAAGGACATGGTTTTCACATTGCACTAGTGCTTCTGGCACTTCTACAGCTAGGGCCTGCTGCCAGGAAAGCTAGGCTGGTTCAGTCTTGGAGGAGGAAATGGCCACCCACACATGGTATTCAAAGAAGACTACTTGGAGAACAACTGACAAAGCGACAGGCTTGACTTATGTATTCCAGTACAAACTCAAGTGGCATTCAAATTAAAGTATGCTAGCTTTTAAGGATACATCAAAGGACCAAAAGGAGATAACCACAGGCTAACCAATTTACTGCTTTACAGAGAATCATACACCTTTCTGAAATTATTAGAATCTCCTTGAATGTAATACAGTGATTTCAGGTTCTCTGGGATTCAAATGCTTTCTATTTCAGTGTAGGCAACAGAACATTGTGTAGTCCCCACTATGTTCACCAGGCTCTTAGTATCAGGGCTTCTTCTCTCCTTTGCTTCACAGTAAGCTACATACACAGCTAATCCATTGCCTCTTAAGAAACTTTAGCTGCTTGTCTTGGGAGCTTTAAATAGTTGCATCTCTTGGTAGAAGCAGCTCCATAGACTTGAATTTCCATGACCAAACATTTTCTAGAACCCATTTAAAATAAATTCTGAGCCCTTGAAATGACTTTTTGTGAGGCTGAGAGATACATTGAACCCACAAAATAGATGTTTGTTGTGCTTCCAAAGAGATGACCAAAGATTCAATACTAGATAGCAAATGCCTGCAATTAGATGAAAAAGGCTGGTTTCTACAGAGTAAGGAGACATGTGCCAACCCTCTGTGTGAGTGCCTAATGTGAAAGCGTTAACAAACAAGGGAAGGAATGGAGTTACAAGTACCATATGTTTTGTAAGGGAAATTTTATACCTGAGAGCTCTCAATACACTAAAATCCTCACTGTTTTCAAATGGACAATGTCAGTCTTGTGCACATGTTGTAGAACCGCTGACAGGCAAACCAGATCAGATCTTGACTTGCAGGGCTCAGCCAGGATCTGAAAGAGTCTGAAGGGAAGCAGAAAACATTCGTATTCTCAGAAACGCTCTGGGCAGGAAACGTCCCCATACAGCGGGCACGTTCTCCCAGGACACAGACATAGACACTGCTATACCCTAGCTCTGCAGGCTCCTGCTGGGAGGGTGCTCTGTCCCGACTGGGACGGGCGCTCCCCAGCAGCTCTCTCTCGAGGACGAAGGGAGGACGCCCTGCCCTTCCCCGCCGCCGGGAGGGGGCCGAGGCGCGGGCTGCCCCCAGGGCAGGGGTAGGAGCAGGCAGGCAGGCAGGCAGGAGCCGCCCCGTGCGGGGAGGAGGCAGCGCACGGGCGCTGGCTCCTCTCCAGGCATTTCCACCCCGAGAGGTAGCCCCGGCGCTGCAGCCCTCTTCCCTTCCCTGCCTCCTCCCTCTCTCGCTCCCTCCCCCTTCCCCACCTCTCTTCCAAAACCGCAGGAGCCGCCGCGGCCACGCTGCACTCTTTCTGCCGCCAGCCGCGGAGCGGTACGAGCGGCCCTGGCCGCAGGCACGGCCCGAAGCGGGACCAGCCCCGCCGCCTCCCCGCCGCCCCACTGCCATGGCCGGGGCCGCGGCCCAGCGCTGAGGATGCTGCTGGGCGCCCCGCGGGCGGGCGGCTGGGATCGCGGCCGGGTGGGCGAGCGGCTGCAGGCGGCACTGGCCGGCCTCCAGGAGCTCCAGGTGCTGCGGGAGCGGCAGCAGGAGCTGGTGCGGGCCGCCCTGGCTATGCCGACGGGCGAAGGCGAGCATCCTCTGCGCGCCCACAGCAAGGAGCTCCGGCTGGAGGCCACCCTCACCGCCCTCAAGGAACAACTGGTAAGAGACGGGACGCGCCGGGGAGGAGGGGGTGAAGGGGGAAAGGAAGGGGGAAGAAGGAAAAAAAAAAAAAAAAAAAAGGCACCACCGCTATCCCCTCTCGTCGGAACTCGCGGGGAACCGTGCCTTATAACGGACGGCCGGACCTGGGCGCGGTGTCGGCAGCAGCTCCGCGCAGGACGGGCGCTGCGGGAAACCTTCAGCCGGCGTTGCGCGGGGCCGGGAGCGCTGCTGGATGCGGCGCTGTGCGAAGGGGATGAGAGGAGGGCGCGGAGCGCTGCTGCAGCGTGAGCGCTGCCAGGTGCGGCGTGGGCGCCCGTGTGTGTGTGTGTATACACAGGTGCGGGACTGCATGCGGAGAAAGGTCTCGTGCGCTCTCAGCACTTTGCTCTCCCACGGACAGTAATAGCTGAATGCCAGGCCTTGTGCTTGCTTCACGCTTGCTTCACGCTTTTGGGACAGAAAAAAATCCCGCTAGCTCGTGACTGAAACGAGTTTCCAAAGTGAGGCAGCAATCACAGCTTTAATCTCCAAGGTGGGCAATTGCGCACCTCAGTAATCTCAATGCAGAGACCTCTTAGTGTTGGCGCAAGGCTCGCTGTCAGTTGTCGTCCGGGTGCGAACGCGGCAAGGACGCTCGCTGCTATCGCAGCTCTATCAGGCGGCAGCTGGGGAGAAAATTGGCTCGGACCTTCGGGGCCGCCAGATGTGAGAGCACACGAGAGGCCCTGTGGTGATTAAAGTGAAAAACCGCAGGATGAGTGGGCTGCCGCCGCCTGATTACCTGTCACACATCATGTTAACTAATGACTCCACTTCATACACGTGTTTAACAAAAAGAAAAAAGAACTGAAAGTATTTATTGCCCGTCTGGGGCCACTGGGTTAACAGAAACACCCCGTGACCCCTGACCAGAGTGACTATTTGTTTTTGTTATTTATTTTTTTTTTAAATGTCAGCTGTTGTGCTTTAATTACTCATTTGTTTATGTATTTTTCACATAAGGGCTGAAAATAGAAGATTATCTTGTCAGGACTAGATGATCCTGGATCCTTAATGATTCTATGATGCTATTACTGTACTGGTACTTGAGAAGGCTTTCAAGGGCATGGGAGAAACTAGAAGATAAAATGAAAGAAATGGTCCCTTGGGCCTGCATGATTCGGAGGGCGAGAGTATCTCAGTGCTGAGGAAAGATGGTGTCAGAAGGACATACCAGTGTAAGATGGGGATCACCTTCTGGGGCTACTTGGGAGGGAAGCGATGGAAACACTTGAGTGGGGAAATTCACAATGGCATCAAACCAGGGGCAGGTTCTTCCACAGAACTGCGGTTGTCTGTGAATGCCTAAGGTTGTCATACAAAGCACTTCCGATTGACCCGTGGCTGCTGGAAGCCTTCCAGTCTGGCATCTCGGTAGCCTTCTGTTGTTGTTTTTCTCCCTGCAAATTGCAGACATATATTTAAAGAGGTGCAGACCTCAACTTTGCATTATACTAAAATAAGCATAAGTGAAAACATGGTCTTCAAAGAACTGTTAGGTGTCCACAGATCTTAAGAACTGAGACCACAGACTGAAAAGAAGTTCCTTTGTGCCTTGTGGTCAGCATATTGCAGTCAAACCCTTTGAAAATTTTGTTCATGATCACAGGAAATTAATTTAAAACTAAAAGCAACAGGGAATGCAAAGCACAGCATTGCTCGAGGAGTGTTATGTCTTCATCGTTGTTGTTCTTGGCCCAAGGACAGTGAAGTATGTGATCACGGCTCTATAAGCTTTCAGATTGAGAAACTCATTAACAATGTAAACATGGTTTTGCCTTGCAGTGTGTCTTGAGCCAAGTTTCAAGTAGGGTTGTAGCCCTGGGCTTTTGTGTGGTGGTTGTTGAATTCATAAAAAGTTTGGTCTTTGCAACATGAAATAGGGAAATTTTATCAGCCAGAGCTGGCTGAGGGCTTCCAGGCAAAGGATACAAGATCAGTAAGAGTCAGTTCAGGCTTCTCCTGTGATATGAAGTTGAGAAACTGAAGTACAGAGGCTTCCTGAGGAGTCAGGCACAGAAATTTCCTGAGGAGTTGAGTGCTACCAGCAGGATCAGATGGAGCGGAGCCTTCAAATGCTTAAGGAACCATTTGTGGATGTCGCTCCAGCATCCCAGTTTCTTCCTCAGCAACTAGCCTATCCAGAAGTTTGCCTTAGGCAGCAAGGCCACAAGCTTTCTGCAGCCCCAGCAACCACAGGTTATTTTGCCCTACAAATAGCTCTTTACCATGGTCAGGGGCTCTTCTGAGAGGTGCAAGATACTGTGATTATCTGTAGTAAATACTGGGAAAAGAAGCGGATGTGATGCCAATAATGATCCCAGAGGTGCTAATCTAGTCTCTTGGCCAAACTCTATCATGGTGACCCCCAGGAGAAAGAAGAGATGCAAATAAATTCAGACAGTACAAAGAAAGAAGTCTGTGACACTTTCATTAAGTAGACAGATACCTAAGGCAGCAGCATACAGTATTTCTCACACTTTCCCAGATAATATATTTATGAGATCTTATTGATTTAATTGGAATCCAATGATTTTGTTTTGCAAGCCTGTGATGTTAGTAAAATGTAAAAAATGGACAGCAATTACATGAAAAGAAAATAAAACACTTGGTACCTTGCATTTTGCACATTTTTTTCTCCTTTGAATAGTTCTCAGTAGAAGAAAACATCTTGTAAATCCTGGATATGTATATTTTGAATATTAAAGTTTTGGTCAGCTGAGAAAAATAGGTGCTTGCAGAAGGAATTCATCTTGCACCAGAATAAGGATCTGAGACAGACTCGTTTGCTTTGCAGTAGCAGTCAGAAAAGACCCAAGAGTGAATAAATTTTTAGATGTACAGGCCGAGGTAAGATTAATGCTATATTCTTTTTCATTCTAAAATGCAGTTGGATTAATAAAACCAGTACATGCTTGTCTACGACCACAGCAGTATATATCAAACCTTACTGCTGAACTGAGCTGATGAATAGAAGAGCAAAATAGTCAAACCTGATGAGTGCTTTTTGGTGCCTTGATTCTGGGGGCCAATTCCTTCAACTCAAAGGAACCTGCTTTGCAAAGAGTGTTCATCCTTTTGAATAATGGATAGTATGATGATATCCCAAGCTTGGCTCCAGAATGAACTGTAGTCCATCAGTAGTACAAGTTGATTTGAAAAGCTTGGTCCTGCATTGTACAGTGTGCAGAAGAAGTCACATCTGTGTTGCCCAAGCAAACAAATGGTTTCACCTTCCAGGTTTTGTCTTATATAAAATTCATATTGTGAATTAGGGAAGTGTATTTAGGCTTTATTGTTCTGGGTGCTGTTTAGTGTAGTTATTACAACAACAACAACCTCAAGCAACACACTGGAAAAGTTGTCCTTATCCAACCAGTGTGAGAAGTGCCTCTTGTCTTGGAGAACAGCAGGAGTTAACTGAAAGATCAAAGCTATGAAGTCTGCCAGAAACACGAAAACCCAGTGGTGTGAGACACCATAAAAGGGTTAAAGATGATGATGTAAATCATGTGTGTTGGTTAAAATGCTGTGAAAGCGCAGACAGAACCTGGAGGTATAATAAATAATCTTTGAATACCTGAGAGCCTTGTGGCCTCTCCGTCATTAATCAGAAACCACAGACTGAGGGATTGGCTGGCAAAACATTAATCATTAAGCAATTAATTCCAACCATGATTTCCTGAGTAGGTGGGATTGAAGGAGGCATGGCATGTTTTTGCTTTTTCGCTATAAAGGAAATGAAGAGGGATTGAGGAGGTCATACATTCATCATGTAGATGGGATAGAAAATCTCCTTTATTATCCTGGTCTTCCTTCTGTTTATGTGAGACAGGAAGCGTGAAAATCACCACCTGTTTTCCTACCAAGCAATAACAAACTTGTTGAGCTTAAATGTTTCTATATGTGCAACACTAACAGAAAGGAGCTTTATTTCTTGTGTCTTATGTGTTTTCTAGTTCTCTATAACAGCGTGCAAAAAACACTTTCTTAGTTTTTTCATTATCAACAACCTTGTGAAACTCAGGACATCTGCCTTTTGCCTTTTGTTTGAGTCTCAGTTTCTAATCATTTACTGATTACTGAAGGATCTTTGCTTTCCTTGTGTTTTCTATTTATAGCTGAGGAGAAACCTAAAAATGCAAATCTTAAAAGGTGAATAATCGCAACATAAGGTGAAAATACGTACATGCTGATTTTCATTTTCTACACGTTCTTTAATTTTGTAGATACTTTCAGGGACCTACATATTTATTTACTTATAAGGGGTTGGAAATGCTGCTAGAACTGCCATTTACACTTTTAAATGTGAAATGTACTCATAAAGAAGGATCATTTTCAAGAGTGTTTCAAGAATGTTTTTCTTGCCATTACTAAATGGAAACCTGGCTTTACATGGGTTATGAGCACCATTTTACGACCAACTTCAAGAAACTACCTTTCTTTAGAGTGCTGTAGGATGCATAGCTAGGCATGATATAATTGTAAGCCTCCTAAATAGCGTCTGGGCTTAGATAATTTGCCAGGTGCCATGTGAGAAGTTTGACAGAAACTAACTATGGTTCTTTGACTGGTACCTTAATGATTGGCCATCTGCCCCGCTAAGCTGGCTGCGTAAGTATTGGGGAAGCAACTGCAAGAGCTGTTACTTCAGATCAGCCTGGTCAGTGACTGCAATAGGCAATAGGCCATGTTGTTATCTTATGAAGGATTATTTTAAATACATCACTTTCACAGCAGAATTCAGATGCCAACTCTTCCTTGCATAAAACATATGGAAGTAGCTAGGTAGACATGAGATGTGCAAGGGAATTTTTCAGCAACGTAAATGGCACAATTTGTGTAATGTGCTCTTTCTACTATAAGGAGATGTCATCAGAGTAAATGTTTTGCAGAATTCAGTATGCTGACTGTACTTTGTGTGCTGGTAGAATATGTACCCATGCACAGTAATTTCCATTCATCAGAAAGTATCTTAGAGTTCTTTCAGGCAATTCATAATGTTGATCTCATCCACTACCCAGAGGCAGTGTACGGAAAATGCAGTACATACATCATATGTTAATTAGTGAAAAGACTGCCATCCTGCTTAGTGATACAGTCCCTGCCATAGGTATAACAAAAACAAACAAATAAGCAAAGGTTAAAATAGTATGTTCAGAATGATACATTTTGAGAAAACGTTCAGCTGGGCAGAAGGCAATAAATGCTGAGATACAAAACATATTGTACTTGTCCATTATGTCACTTTCATTACAGAGAGCCAATTGCAACAGTCCCTAGCTAAGCAAAATACTTTGAGTGCAGAATCTGACCAGCACAGATGGCCTGAATTCATGTTTTTCTGCCGAGATTCTAACTGTGATTATTCTTCATTTCCCCCTTCTTTTCTTGATTTATGAACAGTCTCGCTTGAGGAGACAGGATGTCGGCTTGAAAAGCCACCTGGATCAGCTTGACCAGCGAATAAGTGAGCTGAAACTGGACGTCAGTAAGACTTCCAGTGAATACTTGGACAGCGACAGCCGCCCCAGCTCAGGTAATGTGCACTTGGTCATTTATTCCCAGGGATGTGGATTGGGTAGAACTGAAGATGTCAACTGCTGAGCAGAACTCTTTTTTGTTCTGGTCATAAACAGTGCCCCAGGACTGAGGTGGAGAGTAGTGACCCTGCATAGAATGCACACACAGAGGTGATGGGAAATTTCCTGGGAAGTGAATTTACTTGGGAAATGCTGTTTGACTCCATAGTATTTTTTTAATGGAAATTTTTTATTTAAAAAAATGATATTTGAGCCATGAACAGAAGGAGAAAGAGGATACAGATTTATTTATTCATTACTGTGTCCAGCAGAGAATGGCAAAGTGGCTGGAGTACCTGATAGAAAAGAAGGAGACCAACAGCCAAGTCAGTACTTTGCTTGAATCTGCAGCATCTTGAACTTAACTGAAGCCTTGAAGATCATTACCACTAATGAATTTTTCATCATTTATAGAAAAATGAAGCAGCTTTATTGAAAGACGCTGAGAAAAATACAACCCAGCAGTTTGATGACTGAAGTTTTCACAGACAGAGAAACAGGTTTCTGGTCTGATTGACATGGAAAGCTGATCCTTCTGTCTTTTATAACTGGGAAATGTCTATTAAAACCAGCTACTGTTATCTGGTCTGTGACAATGGGAACACCTCTTAAACAGAATTCTGAAAAGCCTTCAGTCTTCATTGAGACGAGGAAAGATTTATTTTTTTTTTTTTAAGCCTTGAAAACTTATGGGAAAGTCTTCTAATGCCTGATCTATATATAAACATTAAATATTAATACTATCCTGAAATGTTACAAACAGCTGAGCAGAAAAGAGGAATCTTGCCGCTAACTAGTTCTTCCAATAGTTTTCAATCATGCATTTTGTATCTATATGGGTATGCATATGGATTTGCAGGATAATACTTGCAGTAGCTCTAAAGTGCAAATTTCTGTGAGTGTCAAGAGTGTTCAGGAGTTGAACACTTAGCACATACACAGTTGGAAAGCTAAGTGCATCCTTTGCTGTTTGTTTTATCTGAGCACAGGCTACTTTTTGTCTACTTTCCTAAGCAAACTCTGCTTGTATGCACCTAGCACAAGTTAGAACACTATATGATGGTTCTGTTTTACACCAGCTGCATAGCATACACCGCAGACATTCTCCGATGAAGAACAGAGTATGATGGTGCTACACTTAACCCCATGTCACCCTCAGAACTAAATGTACATATCCATCCTGACCTGGCTCAGGGCCAAAGTACATATGCTGAAGTCCAATAAAAGGTAGCTGCTCTGGAGCATGCCTTTGCAAAATTTGCCTAATTAAATTATCACAAATTTAGCAAATAGCAAATGGAGATTTATCTTCTTTGTTTCTTCCACTTAGTTACTGTAATTCAGAAATATTTTCTTATTTATTTAAATTCTGCAGGCTTCTACGACCTGAGTGATGGTGGTTCTTGCTCACTCTCCAATTCTTGTACCTCTGTGTACAGTGAGTCCATCTCCTCCTCCCACACCAGTCTCTTGCCCAGCTCTCAACACCCTAAAGCGAGGCTCAGTGTGTTTGATTACCGACCCAAGTCTGCAGATGAAACTACTGTGCACAACACGAGCTTCCAACAGCAGGGAACCTATGTCAGCGATGGATGTCGGATTACAGCAAGCACGGACATTTCTGGGACTCCTGCCAGGTCCAGACCGAGGCCAGTTTCCACAGGTAATCAATTGCAGAACTGGTGCTCATTCAAGAGAAGGTCAGAGTCCTCTTTATTACTCTTAGAGCAATATACAACCACTAGTGTAATCAATATAAAGCACTCTTTTTAAATATGCAAAGTAAGAATTAATTGAAACCACAGAGCCCAGCCATTTACTGTACCACTTTCACTTGCCTCATACTTGGATACTTATAACAGTAACAAATACGCGGTCAGATGCAATTAGAGATAGAAAAGTATCTAAGTGCATGAGGTAAAATTGTAATGAAATTCTAGATAACTTTTTAATTTTTCCTGCTTCTGAATTTAAAAAAATTGCATATTTGAAATGCCTTGTGTGACAGTACAGGATGTGTGAAAAATATGAAGTGAATTCAGTATTAGAGTTGTCAAGTTTTACCAAGAAAGATTTTACAACAAATTTTAAGAGAAATTGCCATTTCTAGACTTAATGTCTTTGTTCTCAATCTGTTGTAAAACAAGTATGATAAGATTTTTTTTTCAAGCCATATTTATTGAAATTAATATGGATTTGCAATATTCTTTTTCATAACTTACTAGGGATAGGGATAACAAACACCAAATATTAATCAACCATCTGGAAACCAGACTTGACCCTAGTTCTGCATCAATTATGAATTTATGTCACACCTTTACATGTAATGGATTAACCTGATAATGTTCTGAGTCTCTTGTTTACTGAGTTGTTAAGTGGCATCATGTTACTATTCACTCTGAATCCTTCCATGGCCAGAACAGCTTTGTGTTAAGGTACTTCTTAGGGTGACCCAACCAGATGTGAGGCAGTTCCATTATAGGAGTAGTAAAGCTGTAGACACTGTCTTTTCAGGTACAATGTTCCTGTGATTTTTGCAGCTTCTTGCCCTAGCCTCGCTTATTTCTGGCTTGCTTAGAGCAGAAGCTAAGACCAGGTATGATGTACCTGTCTATGCAGACACACCTGAAGTGATTATGGTAAATTGCAACATAAAATCACAATCTTCTCAAGTCTTCTCAGATGCTAATGAGTGGAGCTGGTCTTAATGGTCTATGCCTTCCAAATTCAGACTGCAGACTTCAGACTTGCTATTGCAAGGTTTTATTGTTAGCAAATGGGGCTTTTAATGAGTTTTGGATATGGAGGTAGGCCAGTAGAAAAAGGGATAGTTGATTTAATCGGGGAAGAGTTAGGATACAGACCTCTTGTAGTTCTCCTTCTTTCCTGCCTCCTACTCCCTTCTTCCTGGCTACAACCTCTTCCTTTTTTCAACATGAGAACCATAAGTAGTGGAATTGTTGCTTCCATGTATTCTTGAAAAAACAATTCCTGCAAAATTGACTGTGTTTCAGAGAAGTGAGTCAAGATGTTACTTCAGGAAAGCGTCATTTGAAAATTGGAAGAAATTCTCTTTTCCTCTCCTTAGCTTGCCCCCACCAGTAACTACAGGTACAAACAGGTTGCCCATTCTTTCAGTGGCAGCAGGAAAGCTTGCTAAACCACCACAAGCACAGCTTTCTTTTAACCCTTTCCTGGTTTGTTCGCAGTGCTGAGTCACTTCTTTGAATTTTAACTAACTGTTCACTTTGTAGTGGAATAAGTTATTCTTGTGAAAAGCTTGTGATCCTGATGCTTTCTCATCATGTAATGAGTCTGGATTTCTGTTACACAAAGGCATGCTTTGTTTGAGCTAGAACGTGTTTGAGTTTTCCTTCCCCTTTAGTGTAATGCTGAGGAAAAATCAGTTTGTGGTAGAACAAACCACCTTTTTATGGAACTTCTATGCTGCAGAGAATGTAAAAAGCATTCCTAAAGAATGTTGTAATTATTATGTAATTATATTGTGTGAGATGTCATCATCCTGATCTTTGCTGTAGCAGAGTTGAGAGCACCTTAGGTAGGACACTGCACAAAACTCCAAATTTTAATTCTTCCAGAAGCTTCCTCTAATAGAACAGAAGTAGTCACTGTAACTGAAATATGTTTGGATGTAATGCTCAGCTTTCACGGCAGCACAAATCAGCAGCCAGGAAATTAGCTAGCTGAGAATTTGTAGTGCAGTCTGTACTGCCATACCAAGAAATCCAAGCTAACTGCAGATAGTTCCAGCAGTCTTAGCACCATAGTATTCTACTGGCAGACTCATCCAGATGGAGCAGTCCTGCTCCTGAAACACAGCCTGGTTCTCACAGAATAGGAGATGCTCCTGAGAGGGAGATGCAGCAGTCAAATGTAACTTGCCCTTAGACATCTTTTTTCTTATTGTCAAAATAAGAAGGTTTCTTAGTCCATTTTTCTGTGTAGTTAAGGTAGACTTAGTAAAAATCCACATGCAATTACAGCAGTCCTGATTTTCTGCCTCGTAGTAAAACCTCTGAATATTTATTTCTGGAATTAAATGTTCCAAGAAGTTTGAGTATAAAACAAGTTATTTGAGAAAGGCATGAGGCTGGCAATGATAACAAATTAAATTAGAGACCTGGTTAGGAAGTTTCAATGGATTTTGGGCTGAAGAAAAGTAGAATCACATCACTCTAGTCTATAGGACGATACAGCTTCCAGCCACAAAGAGGCTAAGAAGCACTATTCTGTCAAAGTCCTTCTAAAGCAGCTGGATCAGTACTTCAGATTTTTTTCCAAAACACGTGAAAAAGGGGTTGGAGGAGAAAATATATATATATATTGTTCCCTGTGCGGGTCAGGCTTCCCACTGTGCCATCCAGGCCAGAGCTCTACAGAGCTTCTGCCAGCACACACGCACACGCACACACCTCTTTGTATGCTGGAAATATCAGGAATTTTAAAAAAGGTTTAAAAAAGGTAATTTAGACATGAGAAGTCTTTATCCTATCCTGGGGAAAGAGTATGAGAAAATCTGTATTTGTTGCATTGAATAATTTTACCTGATATTTAGCTTCAGGCTGTATGGTTGCTGAATTCTTTTTTCACCTCTACTAAGAAAAAAAAAAATTTTTTTTTTCTGTTCCTCTTGATCTGAAATTCTGGAACAATTTTGTATATACAGAGATTCACTTTTGTCTAAGTAGGACAGCTGAAATTTCCTGGAAAGTAATTAGTTTTATCATAGGCAATAAAATGTATTCTAATCTTTGTTTTGCTAAAGCCTTGAGATAATTTGATATTCTTGGAGGACTGAAACTATTTTCTGCACTGATGCTACTGATTTTAGTAAAAGTTAGCACATCCCTCTGAAACAGTGTTTTTAACACAAGCCAGTTTGAGTGTAATTGTCTGTGATTTAATTAGGTTATTTATTTTCATCCACTGTGTAGGTGACTTGGAGAGACTCATTCCAGCAGATGCTAGATTTCAGAAAGAGACAGATCCCAAATCCTCCTTGCCTCTGTGCCATGCAGACTTGCACTTGCTCAGCATGGACCCCAAGTTCCAGAATGACTTGGTCTCCAAGAATGGCATTGATGTGTACCCTTACCCAAGCCCCCTTCATGCAGTGGCTTTACAGAGTCCCCTTTTCTCCCTAATGGGGACATCCACAGAAGCAGACCTCCAGGCTTCCCCCAGCAAACCCATGCCTAGTGTGACAGGTCCCACCTTGATTAGGACTAGGCCAACCACCGAAGCCAAACCAGGGGGTTACATCAATAAATTACTGCAGCTGACAAGATGCAAAGGGAACAATCGAGCCGATGCCAGCGAGCGGGTTTCAACAAAGAGCCAGCCAGCCACAATGCACCAGAGACTCATTATAACCCCCAGTGCCGGTGGAGTGAAAATTAACAGCAGCAACAGCCAGCTGGAAAAACAAGCAAGTTCTCTGGAAAGTAACAAAGCTGAAGGAAAGCTGCAGAGAGAGCTGCCGGAGGGGGAATGTGCCAAGCTGCAGGAGGCCATGCACTGTGTGAATGAAGAGCAGCCGTCCGGTTTCCCTGATGCAGAACCATCAGCTGTGAATAGTTGTCTTCCTGCCAAGTCTGCTGCAAGGGGCTCTCCCCTGGCAGAAGCAAGGGAGAACAGTTTGGAGCACAGTTCTTCATGCTCACAGCTGTGCCAGGAGGACTCCAGCTTTTGTACCTGGAACGCTAAAGACACCCCACCTAAAAAGTTGTCCCTCAAAAAATGTGGCGGTGCCAAATTGGCTAATGCTGGAGGTCAGGAGCGAGCAGCACGCGGTGAATTTGTCCACGCTCAGTTTGTCCCTGCAGAATCCCATCAAGTCCGAGTCAAGTTTGCCAGCTCCAAAACAAAAGCAGTGAAGATAAAGAGGAGAAACAGCGAAAAGGTACTACGTCCTGGGAAGCAGGCCTTTTATTTGGAAAAGGTGAGAGGGACTCATGGCACTGCCAGGCTGCCTGCTGAATGGAATCAGCCCCACAGACCACACGGAGCAAAGAGCCTTGCCCGGAGACCTTCGTACTCTGGTGATGTGACTGGCAGGTCGTGCTCAGAGTCTAGCTTGTTCCCTGTGCAGGTCAGGCTACCCACTGTGCCATCCAGGCCAGAGCTCTATGGAGCTTCTGCCAATGCACTCTATTCCCTTGAAGCAACTTGTGAAGACACAGCCAGCAAGAAGAAGCAGCGCAAGTGGCAGTCCACAGTGGAAATCTCTGCCAAGAGCCATGGGGCCAGCCTCTCTGGTGGCTTTGGGGTAGGAGCACCAAGGCAGCCAGGAAGGAGAGCCGGTGTCCTGCGCACTGTCAGTATGAGGGCTCGCCCCAAGAGTCATCACCATGGAGCTTATGCCAAAAGTGAATCAGACCATTCTGAGTACTCAGCAGAGTGTGCTTCCCTCTTTCACTCCACCATCGCAGAGACGAGCGAAGGAGAGGTCAGTGATTTCACCGCTAACCGTTTTGGGGACAGTGAGTCCAGTGAAAGTGATTCAGATGACAGCAGTACCAGTAGCAGCCTTGCGCTTGACTATGATGAGGGGGATGAAAGTGAGCTGATCTGGCCTGAAGGATCGGTCAGACAATTGGGGACTGTCCAGGTCTCTTCCAAGCCTCTTCCCCCAGTGCCCAAAATCTGCCGCATCAAAGCTTCAAAGGCACTGAAGAAGAAGATTAGGAGATTCCAACCTGCCTCTCTGAAGGTTATGACCATGGTTTAAAGGAGAGCAAGCATCTGTTTCTTGCCTTGAGACATCCTGCTGGCTCTCATTTGCAAAACAAGAGAACCGATGTGCAGAGAAAAGGACTTGCTTAACGAACTTTGAACAACCTCTGAGTCGGCACAAGGGACCTTTTTGTTTGTTAATGCCTGGATATAAATGTCACTGTATCTAATTTCCTCTTTTGCCATTTATTCTGTAAATACGTATCCATATATATTGTGATGCCTTTTTTTTTTTTTTTTTTTTTTTTTTTTTTGTAACTATACAGAAGGGTCGTCGTAATAAAAATAAAATGTCAGTAAGAGACAACATGTCCAAACCACCTCTGCCATAACATTTTGCAGGGAGGATCTTGTCCATATGCACATCCACAGAAAAAGCCTCAGATACAAAGGCCTCCTAAGAGGCTCTTTCCAATTGGAGATTTAGGAATGTCCCTCCCTCTTGTGAATAATTCTTTCTAGTCTAAAACAGCATTTATCACTTTTACACTGCTGATATGGAAAAGCTCTCAGTGCTCTCCATAGTTGTACTTTCTTTCAGGACAACTATTCATGTACCATCTGCAAAACTTCAGGAGAATTACTTTGTCCTTCAGTATAAGCATACTATGGTTATTGCTAAAAGCAGTTTGTTTGCAAATGAGAGTAAGACTTTTTTGTTTTCAAAACTGAGAGTATAGGATGGTTGTTTTTTTTTTCAGTTCCACCTCTTAATAACATTCTATGTTATTGTTCATTTATTGAATGAGTGAAAGAATATGAGAGCTTGGTACAACAGTGTATGGGTAACTTAGACTGAGATTATAGCTTTGTCCCTGAAACTACAGACTCAATAAAGATTATTTAATGTACTTCTGAAAACTCTGCTTGTCTGTCTTTCACATCTAAAGCAAAAGGTTCTGGGAAAATGTAGGATGCATGAGGCACGCAGGAGGAGCATTCTCTGGTGGAACAGATGAGCTTTTTCATTACCATTATGCAGAGGGATTATTTATTTTTTGAGGTTCACTTACAGCTTGGGAGGAACCAGGATCCTTTTCAGCTTCCATGCCAAGAAACATATACTTTAGCAGCTGCTTCTAAACGAGTGAATTTGAAAACTTTTTACATTGAGGACAGTAGCATCTCACTTAAACTGATGCAATTTTACTGTAAGACACATTCGTACACACAACATATTTTGAGTGGACTTGAGGGCACGTACACAAAACTTTAAATTTGTTAACAAACTGATAAAGGTACTATTTTGCATTCAGACAAGGAGTCTCAATTCTTTCCTCTGGACACAGGAATTTGGAAGCTGAGCTGAAATTCAACCCGTATTTACCATGAACCAGGTATTATTCTTCTGCCTCTATCCTCTATTTTTCAATACCCAATCTGAATACATTCCTGGCCTAAGAGATGTAGGCATTACCTCATTCAAGAATGTACTGGGTCTGAAACAAAAGACAAGTGCTTAGCAGAAACTGTGGGTAAAAGAGTGTTTGTTTACTCCGAGGATTCATTAACAAATAAAATTATTGGAAGACTAAACTTTTAGACAATGTCTTTCATTTTTTGGAAGCTAAATTATTTTTCTTAAACTACTCTATTACAGATCATTTCTGGAAATAGAGATAGAAATAAGAGGTACAAAAATAACTAAAATATTTGGAGCTAATGCCTAAAACCATCCTTACTGTAACTAGTGAAGTATTACATTTTAGTTGGTGGAATATGTTTAAGTGCTTTTTCATGATCCGAAGAATACTTGGACGTAACTACTCCAGTAGGATTAATGGAAGAATTTCACAAGTCTGGTGGTGTTTTCTTGTTTGCATGTCCAGCAACAGAACAAACAAAATAGTGATTTATGCTTTGTTGACTTTCTACACTACAAAAGGATTCTTTTTCCCGTTTACACAAAAGGTTTGGCTTGGGGGAGTGTGTCAAAAGTTACATATGAACCTTAATCCATGAGTTTTCTGTACTGGGGTGGGGTTTTCTGGATGGATGGGAACTTTGAGTTTGGTGGTTTTTTTGGGGTTTTTTTTTTTTTTTTTTTTTTTTTCTTCTTCTTCCATGGGGGAAGAAATGCTCCTAACTAGAAAACTGTTCTGGGTAGGAGCATTCTGAAACCTGATAAATACCACCACCCAGTAGCTCCCTGCCTTTTTATCAGGGTAAGCTGAAACAATAAGTTTGTGATCACACAGCTCAGTAAATCCCACTTTAGAGCTGTTAATGCTCTGTCAGAAATGCTGCCAGACACATGATGAAAGTGCTGATCCAGAATGAATGACACTGCCAACTCAAATAAAGAGAAATGATGACTTAATTTTGTACTGACAGGTTTTGTGCCAGATGAGGTATCACTGCCTCTACTGCTCAGACCTTCTGCCAGGTCAGATAATGTCTCTCCTCCCAAAGCAAGCATAAAGCCAACATAAAAGTATAAAACTGCACAAGCTTCATCATTATGTGCCCCAGCTGATTTGACAGAAATATGACTGTGTGCCCACACTTGATGCAGAGCACACCTGTAGTCCTGGAGAATCCCAGCTGTGCAGAAGACATGCTATTAAGCATTGAGGTATCACCATTTCACCACATGTAGTGATACCATTGGGCCGTGACATTCCAAGAGTAGCTGACTTAGGGCTCTGGGGGCAGTATGGGCAGTAGTTTCCACCTTTCCTTGTCCCCTTTTCTTTGTGAACTGAAGAACTGATGGCTATCTTTGGGAAGCTTCATCCCACAATGCTAGACATGGTTGCACAAAGTCCCTTGGAAAACACTCAGATCTACTTCAATGCAGGAAGTGAATCACTCCAGGAAAGTGGACCTTCTCCCTAGCATTTCCCTTTGGAAATTGTTTTCCTCAGCTGGAGAAAGGGACCAAAGCCCTGGAGGCAAGAAATAGGGCAATGCAAAGACTTGGGTGGCCAATATTCCAGGAAGATTGGCACCAAAAATATGACCGTGGTTCACTACACTGATAAAAGTTAGTATATTCTGGTGCCACTTACACTGAGAATTTTAATAACAACCAGATACAAAGGGGAAGTGTATCAGTACTCAGTCCATCAAAGACCAGGGGCTGACTCTGCTGACAGCACTGAGAAACATACACCATTAAAACAAACAGATCTGAAACACAATCACAAAATATCTATAAACAATTTCATGCAATGTTATTTTATATATGTATGCTGAACATCATACAAACATCTTTCAACTACATATGCAGCCTTATAGTGAGAATCAGAGATGCTCAACTTTGCTGACTGTTGTGGCAATACACAATAGAAACATTCACCATCTACTTCCCCCATCAGAAGCAATATGCAAAATCCATCTATTTCACAGCTACTAGTAGTACAAAGGCCTAAAAGAATGCAAAAAATGTCAGACGGGGAGTCAATTAAATGTCTAGCACCAAACCTGGCACACTTTAGGAGTGAGAATTGTGGCACTTTCACTGTGACTTACTTAGCAAATGCATAGTTCTAACAGCTATCTGAGAAACAGCTTTATGTAGCATCTCCATTGCAGGAGCTAACAGTGTGGTCATTGCTCCAAGTGCTAGTGAATCAAAGTCATTTACTGCTGAAATGGATGGACCACATCAGCAGTTTCCTTCTATCAAATTAAAAATGATGTTTACACTTTGTTGTAGAAGCAAATTGCTCCTTACCTATCCTTAACCACAAGAAAGAAAAGAAACTGAAGGGAGGGACAGAAGGGTGAGGGGAGAGAAAGAGACTAGAAAGGGAATTAAGGAAGCTTCAAGAACCATTTACAGACTAGGCCAAGCTTATGATTTTTAAAATTTCATTAATCCTCTAATACTTTTGGAATTGGATAATTAGCAACCTTCTTGTCTTTGATACAATCTGAGCTTTTTTTAGTCTCCATCTGTTAAGCAAACCATGGGCCAAAATCTCCTAAGCTACAAGGTAAGGGAGAGCCCAAGCCCAGCTTTCTTCTAGACCAAATGTAAAATCCCCAGAGATGCAAAGATTGCTCAGTGGAGGCATGCAGATAAACAAGGCATCTGTGAGCTTTGCCTCCGACCAGGGACAAAGCAGTGGCATGCCAGAGATAGACTGACCAACCACTCTCTGCAGCAGTGGCTTTGATGCAGCAGTGTCAGCCTCAGTTTTCAAGCACCTTTGAGCCCTCCTCAACCGTCCAGAGGCTGAAGGGATCACCCTGCCTAAGTCTCATTTCTGAAGCTTCCCTATGAGGAATGTAAACTTGCAATGACCACATCTTTCAGATACATCGAGTCTCTTTTCTTACATGTATGTGAAAGAAATCTGGTATGCCACCATTACTCCAGTCCTTCACAACAGCTGAAGTGAAATCAACAGGAAAATGTTCAGCTAAGGGTGGTTTTCTAATGTTTGCCCTTTTCAGATTTAAAACCATTGTGGTATGTCCCATTATACTGCAGTACAGAAAACTAGCAGAATAACAGCTGAAATGAGCCCAAGTTCAGCCACTACCCATTCTATTATTTCTGTGTGATATCACCATAATGAAGCCTGGAGATTACTGTTAGCTAACATAGAATTTTTTATTTTTTTTTTTTTCAAGCAAGTTTTTTCTTTCCTGGCTCAGAATTTGTAACTATGGATGCAGTGCATCAAATTTACCCATGGCATAATTCCAGGGACGTCACTGGAGCCACCCCACAGATTCCTTTACCCCTCACACACAGTTCTCAAGATGTCAGCAAGCGGGATGATGGGAGCAACAGATGGAAAATAAGAAGGGTTTCATACCTTCAGCTTTTGATTGGGCTGCATGCTGTGGAAATAACATTTGCTGTAGTATCACTTGTGTGTTAGCAAGAGAGCAGGGGATGTGGGAAGGGCTGTGCATGGTCATATCTTTTCATGCTTACTCTGGTTTTGTAAACACAATTTTAAAAGGCTATCAGCAATCTGGTGATCTCTGTCCCCATAAAGCTACAAATTGAGAAAGAAGGAAGTGCACAAATCAAGTTGACCAAGTAATATTGAAACCAACTACAGATTTTCAAGCCCCAAAATAATCTCAATTTCCGCAGGAGTCTTGAGCAGCTGGATGTGCTCAAAAAGCTCCATCAAATCACTCCAGGTGCCGCTACTCAGCATTTAAAATGAAGATTTGAGGCCAACAAGCTGCTCTGAAAAATATATAGTGCTGCAACCTTTACTTCTGCATTCACTTACAATACTTTCTCTCTACTCCTATTTCCCCATAAATGGGTATAAAAAGCCAAAGGTTTGTGTAAAGTTGAAAGTTTTCTCAATAAGTTACTACTTTCAAGATTCTATATGAGATTCTTTTAGAGTCTCCAAAATGGAGCAATGTGGGTACATTTACTCTCCAGACCACTGGATGAGCCCTTCAGCAAAAATCCAAACAGAAAACTTACACCCACACAACAAGATGTAGCATCAACAGGAGCTGTACTATTCAATATATGAATGTATATGATTTTCCATTGCAATGATCCAATGATACAATAAAAACTTAAATATTGTAAGATCTGTAGCTCAGTCACTGATGTAAACCAAAAAAGTTCAATCATGAAAACAGCCTTTGAGTCTGGCAACTCTCTGGGAATACGTTGTTTGGCAGCAAGACAGCTTTATACACAACTCTTCAGTTTTCTACTTAATATTCCCAAAATAATAAAATTAAGAAGGAAAAAAGGCATGAATCTAAAAAAAAAAAAAAAAAAAAAAAAAAAATATTAAATATTCAGAAAGTATTTGCTTAGGCTTGGCTTTAAGGTAAAAGCTGTGGCTGAGAAACCTTTTATCAGAACATGTTTTCCCATCCTTCTGTGCAGTTATTTGGAAGCTTGCTCTCAT